CGTCTGACCAATATAGCATCTGCCACAAACAATTAATCCGATTATACACCTTCTGTTAGTAATTTAGGCAATTCGTCTTTAGTGCAAGATACTAGTTTTAGAATTTTGTGTACAGTACCAAACCTTACTTTAATGTTTTGCTTTTGCAAAACACGGGCTAATTTGTCAGTTACTCCTGAGATATGGAATTTTAATTGTTTGAACAATCTGATCGCTTTCAGCAGTGTTGCTTTGCGTTCGGGATTTGGCATTCAGTGCTCTGTTAATTTGAGCATTATTGTAGCCATTCTGTCGTAGTGCTTCTTTAACATGTTTCATCTCTCTCACTAGACTTTCACCATCTGACAATGTTTCAGCCCGATGCATGAGTGTCTTGATACGAGAGGATTTCTGAGCTGGGTGATGATCTGAATCTGCATTCAGATAGGCATCAGTGTGCATTTGCTTTCGGTAAAGGCTGTTATTTTGCCATTTAGACCATGTCCAAGCAATATATCTAGGAACGGGAGTGTGTTATTCACCTCCATTTCCATGGTGAACTGGATTGCCGGGTTTTGTGCATTGAGATGATTTAGAAAATCATTAAGTGCATCTTTACCATGTGGCCATACAACCAAAGTGTCATCAAAATATCTAAACCAAAAAGATGGTTTTAATGTACTCGAGGCAAGTGCTCTTGTTTCAAAGTTTTCCATGTACAGATTTGCTATAGCAGGACATAAAGGAGAGCCCATTGTGGCTCCTTCCTTTTGTTTAAATAAATCACCTCTCCATAAGAAGTGTTATTTAAACAATGATCAGCTAGTTTCGGGATATGTTTTGGTAAACCTGTATTCTTTGCTAGTGTATCAAGTAATTTAAGCGACTCGTTCACTGGAACCTTTGTGAATAGAGAAATCACGTAAAAATTCACTGTATCATTAGGGTTACTAAAATTTAAAATGATGTTGATTCACTCTTCAACACACCGGTGGGCTAAAGTAGTGAACTATTTGTCCTTTGGAAACGTGACACATTTTTTACTGTTTGGCCGTGTCGGGTGGTGGAGGGTTACGACACATTTATAAATAACGCGATCTCAAAAACCTTTATTATGGACTGTGTGTGATGTCAGATGCATTTTCACTATTATCAGCCCAGCACCTGGCCTGACTAGGTCACGAGCCAGATTCAGATGGCTTAGCATTGATTGGTTCCGGCTTGGCTCAGTATTTAACCAGTGGATAAACCAAGCATACCGTAATGCCCAAGTGCGGACTAGCTTGGATTTTCCAATGAAAAGGGGTAAAAGTGGTGCAAAGCTGCATTCTGACAATCTATCCTCCAGCTTGATTGCATCAGACACATCTTTCCCCAGCCTCTTGTGTTATAAAGATACACAAATTATTTGGTGATACTGCATCTGCATAGCCAGTGATCCATTACCACAAACATAACAATACGCCATGTGCTATGAAGATGAGCTACTGCTTGAAACATCACCAATTAGATATATATTTTTAGTTTAAGGCCACAGTGTTATTGACAAATGTGTTCAGTTATTTTGCTGTAAATTTGTGCTGTTGCCAATGAGCCAGTACACGTATGTGAAGTAAAAACCCACACACAAAAAGTGAGGGTGCATATAGGACAAATAAGTAATCAAAATTACTGGGCCATACCCTTGAGCTTATTAATAATTGAACCATGAAAAAATAATTTGCAATATGCAGTTAAAATATTTAGACTCCCTTAAAACCAACAACATTTGTAAAGAGAATACCGTATTTTCCCGCATATAACCCACGGAGTATACCACTTTTTACAAACAAAACAAGACCCTGCGGGGTATATGGAGGTGCGGGCTATCCCAAAAATATTTTACACGTGTGACATGTCATGACTCGTTTACATTTTTTCATGGTAGGACTATCCACTATGCAACACTTACCTTTGACTAAAGCACTGCTGAATAAACCACTCACACTAAAATTGCACGTTATCACGTTTTAAATGATTCTAATTGTTTGTACAATGAAACGACAATGTTTTAAGTGGGCGCACTTTGTTTACAGGCGACGGGAGAGCTGGGGGGAGGGAGAGGTGGGGGGGTGGTTGCAGAGCAAGGTCTGCGGTAGTGACGGGAGAGCTGGGGGGGGGGGGGGGGCGAGGCAACGGTATTACCGCAGTGCTGCTATTGTCTGCGCAGCGCGCAATCTACCAGTGCTAAAACTGTACTTATCTACCAGTTATGTTACTTATTACATTAACTTTTTTTATTTAAAGCTTTCGTGACTGCAGGGATTCATATTGTTGGTTCCTTCGGTAAAGTCACGTAGAAGGGAAACAAAATAATAAAAATATTAAAAAAAATTCACGACATTTCGACTGCAACACAAGCAATCATCATCAGGTGTGAAAACACAGCAATAAAATTTGAAAAAGGTGGCTTTTTTAACGTTAACACCACAGAGAGCGATTTGGCAGTTATTCAGATGGACGAGTCCATCTATGTTCGGAAAAGAGGAGGGGGGAGACGAAAATAATGGATGCGGTCTTAAAGCCACCGAAAGCGTGAACAATCAATTAAGACCCGAAATGGTTTATCAAATCCTTCCAATGATTGCCAAACCAGAATCCATCTTCTCGGTTGAAATTGTCTGTGTTTGTATATGTGGATAGCCTCATGGACGAATCTATGGTAGCCAGATGGCTTCTACGTGACTTTACCGAAAGAACCAACAATATATTTACTTTTGTTACTTATTTACTGTTTTAAGTTCACTCGTTTCCGGTTAGTTTATTTTCTTTGTGCACATATTCTTGGTTCTTTCGGTAAAGTCACGTAGAAGGGAAACAACATAATAAAAATATAAAACAATAATATTCTCACGACGTTTCGACTGCAACACAAGCAGTCATCATCAGGTGTGAAAAGCACAGGTGTGAAAACCACAGCAAGAAAAAAAAACGTCGTGAGAATTTAATTGTTTTATATTTTTCATATTTTATTGTTTCCCTTCTACATGACTTTACCGAAAGAACCAAGAATATGAATCCCTGCAGTCACGAAAGCTTTAAATAAAAATTCTATGTGCACGTTATCATTTTAATGAAAACAATTGATAGTGGAATGTATTACAAATGTAAACTTCGTATTAATAAGATGGAATTAAGCTGCGGTAACGATGCTAAAGATATGAATGCATGCGGGGTATACAGTGAGGGAAAACTTTATTTTATCCCCTGCTGATTTTGTACGTTTGCCCACTGACAAAGAAATGATCAGTCTATAATTTTAATGGTAGGTTTATTTTAACAGTGAGAGACAGAATAAGAACAAAAAATTCCAGAAAAATGCATGTCAAAAATGTTTTAAATTGATTTGCATTTTAATGAGGGAAATAAGTATTTGACCCCCTCTCAATCAGAAAGATTTCTGGCTCCCAGGTGTCTTTTATACAGGTAACTAGCTGAGATTAGGAGCACACTCATAAAGGGAGTGCTCCTAATCTCAGCTTGTTACCTGTATAAAAGACACCTGTCCACAGAAGCAATCAATCAATCAGATTCCAAACTCTCCACCATGGCCAAGACCAAAGAGCTCTCCAAGGATGTCAGGGACAAAATTGTAGACCTACACAAGGCTGGAATGGGCTACAAGACCATTGCCAAGCAGCTTGGTGAGAAGGTGACAACAGTTGGTGCGATTATTTGCAAATGGAAGAAACACAAAAGAACTGTCAATCTCCCTCGGCCTGGGGCTCCATGCAAGATCTCACCTCGTGGAGTTGCAATGATCATGAGAACGGTGAGGAATCAGCCCAAAACTACACGGGAGGATCTTGTCAATGATCCCAAGGCAGCTGGGACCATATTCACCAAGAAAACAATTGGTAACACACTGCGCCGTGAAGGACTGAAATCCTGCAGCGCCCGCAAGGTCCCCCTGCTTAAGAATGCACATATAAATGCCCCTCTGAAGTTTGCCAATGAACATCTGAATGATTCAGAGGATAACTGGGTGAAAGTGTTGTGGTCAGATGAGACCAAAATGGAGCTCTTTGGCATCAACTCAACTCGCCGTGTTTGGAGGAGGAGGAATGCTGCCTATGACCCCAAGAACACCATCCCCACCGTCAAATATGGAGGTGGAAACATTATGCTTTGGGGGTGTTTTTCTGCTAAGGGGACAGGACAACTTCACCGCATCAAAGGGACGATGGATGGGGCCATGTACCGTCAAATCGTGGGTGAGAACCTCCTTCCCTCAGCCAGGGCATTGAAAATGGGTCGTGGATGGGTATTCCAGCATGATAATGACCCAAAACACACGGCCAAGGCAACAAAGGAGTGGCTCAAGAAGAAACACATTAAGGTCCTGGAGTGGCCTAGCCAGTCTCCAGACCTTAATCCCATAGACAATCTGTGGAGGGAGCTGAAGGTTCGAGTTGCCAAACGTCAGCCTCGAAACCTTAATGACTTGGAGAAGATCTGCAAAGAGGAGTGGGTCAAAATCCCTCCTGAGATGTGAGCAAACCTGGTGGCCAACTACAAGAAACGTCTGACCTCTGTGATTGCCAACAAGGGTTTTGCCACCAAGTACTAAGTCATGTTTTGCAGAGGGGTCAAATACGTATTTCCCTCATTAAAATGCAAATCAATTTATAACATTTTTGACATGCGTTTTTCTGGATTTTGTTGTTATTCTGTCTCACTGTTCAAATAAACCTACCATTAAAATTATAGACTGATAATTTCTTTTTCAGTGGGCAAACGTACAAAATCAGCAGGGGATCAAATACTTTTTTCCCTCACTGTATGGAGGTGCGGGATATTTGAAATTTGTTTAACACAAAACGCTATTTTTGCGGGGTATATGCGTCTGCGGGTTATATGCGTATGCGGGCTATATGCGTATGCGGGCTATATATGGGAAAATACGCCATATTATTGTTCAAATAGCATGTGAACTTAACAAAAATAACCAACAGTTGTGTTAATAATTTGTAAAAACATACCAGGGGCTCATCCCACATGACATCTTCCTCCTGCTCATCTTGATCACCGCTCCCCCCTGGCCTCTCCGTAGCCGCCATATCTTCTTCATCTTCCTCCTCCCCCCATTCGCCAAGAGCGCCCAGACCTGCGCCCTTCTCCTCTCCTGAGTCATCCACTTGAAGAGCATGAACCACCACGCTCTCGAAGAAGTGAGGCACTTCTCTCACTTGGATCTGGCCTTCGGTGCTCGTTGGCTTTCTCTCGCCTTCCATGGGCCCCTGCCCCTGAGAATGTCAAGTGACACGGCGTTTAAGATCTCGTTATCATCTTCTTTGGTTCTTTCGGTAAAGTCACGTAGAATGAGAATAAAATAATAAATTGATAAAATAAAATAACACAATAATATTCTCACGACGTTTCGGCCACAACACAAGCGGCCTTCATCAGGTGAAGGGGACGAGACTGTCTGGAGGACAGCGCTGGAGTGAGAAAGCCACGCTGAGATCACGACCTTTAAGCTGTGTGAGAAGAAACAAAGCGCCTTGACAAAGGAATTAGCATATAATTTAGCATTGAAATGGCTGAGTGATTAGCTTGTGACTGGTCACAGAAAAGGCTATGTTAAAGTATACACATCCGCAAAGGCACCCCTTGACAAAGGAATTAGCATAGAATTTAGCATTGAAATAGCTAAGTGATTAGCTTGTAACTGGTCACAGAAATAGCTATGTTAAAGTCAGAGCATATACATTCACCGAGGCACCTAGTACAAATCAAACAGGAGAATTTAGCATTGAAATAACTAGGCGAATTTAGCATTGAAATAACTGAGTGATTAGCTTGTGACTGGTCACAGAAATGGCTATGTTCAAGTTAAGGCCTACACATCTGAGCTATTCACAGTAACTGGGTATACAATACAATATATAATGAATACTATATAGTGAACCAATAAAATATACTAAAATATAAATTACCTCAATGTTATCAATAAACTCTATATTCTCCAATCAGCTAAGCTACCAACAATAAGTCGTTATATATCACAATGCTATATGGCGAAAAAATGGGTGGATTCTTACCCTCAACTTTAGCAACACGGATAGCTACGGGTCCCGTTCAGACGGACGAGTTCATCCATGGTCGGAACAGAGGAGGGAGAGAGAGACAGCTGCGAGGCGCTGTTATACTCCATGTTGTAAACCATACCATTAACCGTGGTGTGAGAGGTATTAAGAGTCAATGCCAGCGAAAGAGCTGCGGTCTGAAGGTCATCGTAAAATACAATTAAGAACGGAAATGGTTTAAAACATCTTTCCAATGGTTACTAAGCCAGAAATTGTCTCTGTGCTTGTATATGTGAATGGCCTCATGAACGAATCTCTCATGGTAGCCGGTTGGTTTGCAAAGAACCTCCGTCTTGGAGAAGTCAATGTCATGTGAGGCCACTGAATTATAACAGTGATCTGCCACGGCAGAGGAGTTCGTTCTACCGTGTTTCATCTGCTTTATGTTCGCGGATGCGGTCCGAGATATGTCGTTTGGTTTCTCCAATGTAGCTACTACCACAGAGGCACTTTAGTTTGTAAACGCCCGGGTACTGTATGTCTGGAACAGCATCTTTTAGAGATGGAACTAGATCACGGATTTTATGTACTGTGTTGAATCGGACCTGGATCTTGTGTTTATTCAGGATTTTGGAGATCTTTTTAGTGACCCCTGCAATGTAGGGTAAGGTGATGGTTTTGAGTGGCTCCACAAGAGGATCCTTCTTCATGACTGGAGTGATGGCTTTGCGGATTGTGTAGTCGGAGTAACCATTAGCCCTGAGAGCCTGGTGTACGTGCTTGAGTTCACTGGTAATGTGTTCCTGGTCGGAAATGCATTGGGCTCTATGATGAGGGAGTTCTTCTGGGATGGATGGTGGTGGGAATCCGGTTTCAAGTAAGCATCTGTATGGGTAGCTTTCCTGTAGACAGAGTGGCTCATTGAACCATCATGTCTCCTTTTAATTAAGACATCCAAAGAGGGTAGTTTGCCATCTTTTTCGACCTCCATGGTAAATCTGATGGCTGGGTGTATGGAATTGATGTGGTCGCAGAATTGGTCTAGAGCAGGCTGGCCATATGGCCAGATGACAAAGGTGTCATCCACGTACCTCTTCTTTCTGTGACCAGTTACAAGCTAATCACTTAGCCATTTCAATGCTAAATTCTATGCTAATTCCTTTGTCAAGGAGTGCCTCTGCGGATGTGTATACTTTAACTTAGCTATTTCAATGCTAAATTCTATGCTAATTCCTTTGTCAAGGGGTGCCTTTGCGGATGTGTATGCTTTAACTTTAACATAGCCTTTCAGTGACAAGTCACAAGCTAATCACTCAGCCATTTCAATGCTAAATTATATGCTAATTCCTTTGTCAATGCGCTTTGTTTCTTCTCACACAGCTTAAAGGTCGTGATCTCAGCGTGGCTTTCTCACTCCAGCGCTGTCCTCCAGACAGTCTCGTCCCCTTCACCTGATGAATGCCACTTGTGTTGTGGCCGAAACGTCGTGAGAATATGATTGTGTTATTTTATTTTATCAATTTATTATTTTATTCTCATTCTACGTGACTTTACCGAAAGAACCAAAGAAGATGAATCCTTGCAGTCACGAAAGCTTTAAATCGAAATCTCGTTGTTACTTTACGATTTCATACCCCAACTCTTCAAAAGATAGTTGATGGCCCCTAACCAAAAGCATTCAACAAAATTACGGAACGAATATGAACCAATCAACCCACATGGAGTTGAGTTGCATTTCACATGGTGATAACTCACTTTCTTTTGGCTACAAAGAAATTTAAACCACTAAAGTGATGCCACCAAAGGCGGTGCCAACAAGTGAAAAATATCTGGTCTGGGCTCACGGACTATGTTAAGTAGTAAACTAATGTGGTCTAAAGCCCTAACAGTGTTGTTGTTGGTGCTACTGTATAGACCTGTGAGCTGCACTGCTCCCCGTCGAGAGGCTCAGCCAATACCAAAAGAGCCTCTAGGGAGCCCTGCTGCTCTGTGTAGACGTCCACTTGGAGGGGCAGTGATGCTTCACTGCAGGGCACCTGCAAGTTAAAATCCCACTTACGACCAACACCAGTGACGATTATCTCAACCAGTACTCAAATGAGTACCTGGTACGGTGTGTTAAACATCGCCGAGAGGGAGACAAAAGCGGCCGGGTGTGGTGCTGGCCGTGCCAGCCTTCATAGATGGTCGTTAACAGCACTTGCCCCAACAGTGTGTTAAGCCTACACAGGGGATCTTTGTCTTGTGCACTTGCGACCATGTTTACTGGAATCTTTGCTGATTGTAAACAAAGTCAACGCTGCAACCTGGGAAATGCAGTTGGCTGCAAAGAGGCCACGTCCATCGTGATGAATGGTGTTGTGGACAATTCTCCCGATCCGTTTGCGTGTACAGGCACATGGATGCCACCGTGAAGACCGCTCATTTTCCTTCAAAGTACCTTCAGTGTCATGCTCACTGTTTGTCCACAGAGCATTCTGGAGAGGTATTCAACCACCTCGTCCTTCTGTGCGTCGCCTTCATCCTGGAAGTATATAGTCAGAACAGCAGCCTGCAGTAACCAACAAATCTTAGCAGTATCGTCACGAAAAATACGGGGACTCCGAATGTGAATATTTTACTTTAATTTTGCTGTCCTTAAAAAACATACTATGGTGAAAGTATTAACTTGTTGCTCGTACACATTATAAATACAGCATTCTAATTTGATATACTGCACTGTAAAGGCTTTCAAAATAAAATATATCACATGTACCTCTGTGCATATATACCCAATGGTCACCGGAACAAGTGTGACAAGAAAAATAGATATTGTACTCGAATGCAAAAGACTTCAGTAGACAGTTAATAATCCATTTTCACTCAGAAAGGCTGCATCTGCACAGCTAGAGATAGCTTCCACCTACCACCACCTTCCATATATACCAATTGAATATACCAAGTCTAAATTTAAGCGTTGGCAATGGGAACTACTTTTGGGCGGCAGGGTATAAACCAGTAGTAACACACTTGTGTGTACTTCACAGCAAGCACCTGGGTGGGGGGTTCCATTCCCAAATTGGGCACCTCTCCATGTGTGGAGTTTGTATATTCTCTCTCTCTCTCTACCCCTGTCCTGTATGGGTTTCCTTCGGGTTTTCCGGTTTACCCCCATAAGCCAAAGCGCACAGTTTAACTGGTAGAGTAATTCCTCGGTTAATGGTGACATCAGTTAACGTGCTTTGCGGTTAACATTTCGCCTCCAATAGGACTCACATGTTCTTTGGATCTTTCGGTCAAGTCACGTAGATATGTTGAAAGAAAATAACTACGACGTTTGGATCATTTTTTTTTCCTCCTGATGACGATCGCTTGTGTGATCGAAACCTCGTAGTTTTTGGTTATATTCTTTCAACCTATCTACGTGACTTTACTGAAAGACCCAAAGAATATGAATTCCTGCAGTCACGAAAGCTCTAAGTCAGGACTTATATGGTTTCAACTAACGTTAACATTGTTGACTAACAGCAACATGTTTATGTTATGTACGCAGGCGCCAATTTCAGCCAATCAGAGTGCTCGTAAGTGGGGCTAAGCCATGCCCTCAGCCAATCAGCGATGGCTATGTGTCCAGGTCTTTCAAGGATGTGATCTCCTCACACAATCCAGTCTAGTTAAGTCGAGGATGGATCGTAGGCATGCCAGCCTAAATGTTTCTAACCGGTGCAGATGTTCCATTAGAGGGGTCCATGTTTCACAAGCGTTGAGAAAGGAGGGCATGACTGTGGCCGAGAAGACTCAAAGCTTTGTGCGCAGTGACAAACTAGGTAGCTTCCACAAAGCATTGCGCAGCTGATGAAAATAGAATGCTGCCCGACTGATTCGGAGTGAGACCTCTACTGTCAAATCGGAGCTGGTCATAAGCACACTGCCCAGGTATGGAAAACTCTCAACTCTCTCCACAACTGCTCCATCACCAATGGGGAGCTGAGGGGGTGGAGTGTTTAGTGGCAGAAAATACCCAGGCAGGTGCTTAGTTTTGGTGGAGCTGATGAAAAGACTCCACCTCTTAGCGGTACACTCCAGGTTCAGCAGTAGCACCTCCAACTCCTCCTCTGAGTGAGTAGCAATCACCAGATCATCAGCATATACAACATGGTGCTGGTTGTTGAGGAGATGGGAAAAACCACCATTTTTTTCTCTCCGTGGTGCTCATCTCTCCCTCACACCAACGCTAATCCCCCAGTTACATGCTAATTTATATGTAAACTCCTCTCCCCCCCTCCCCCGGTCCGAGCTTGTCGTTCTCCCTGGTGCTAATCCCTCACACCAACATCATGCTGATCCCCCAGTTACATGCTAATTTATATGTGAACTCCCCTCCCCCCTCCTCCAGTCCTAGCTCGTTCGCTCTCCGTGGTGCTAATCCCTCACTCCAACATCATGCTAATCTCCCAGTTACATGCTCCTTTGTCAAGGCTCTCTGTTCCTCCTACACAGCTTAAAAGACGCTGTCAAGCTTGACATGGTTCACTCAAGCGCTGTCTTCTGGACAGTCCTGTTTCTTCACCTGAGGACGGCTACTTGTGTTGTGACCGAAACGTCGTGATAATTTTATTTTCTTATTTTATTATTTTATTCTCATTCTACGTGACTTTACCGAAAGAACCAAAGAAGATATACAACATGGTTGACAAATAGGGAGGCATCCCTCGACCGCACCTGGGTATCGATCAGCCTCCAGTTGTATCTGTACCACATGGAGATTCCTCCGGTACAGCCAGGGAAAGCTTCTGTAACTACGTGGTCAAAGATGATGTTAAATAATGTGGGAGCCAAATAACATCCCTGTCACACCCCAAGGTGAACAGGGAATGGTTCTGACTCCTGGCCACCATCATGAAGACTGGGCCTGCCCACCATCATGAAGACCCTTACTGATTGTAAGCAGAGAGTCAGAGATTCTGAAAGCCCTGGCCTATTGATGGTATCATAGGCCTTGACCAGGTCAATAAAGCAGAGATGTACGTCTTGTTGGAATTCTCTACACCTCTGCTGTAGCAAACAGACAGAAAATATGGCATCCGTGCAGGACCGTCCTGGTCTGAAACCACATTGGGGCTCCGAAAGCCTTTCCTCAGCGTGTCTGGCACGACAATGTTGAATAACCCTTGCCAGGATCTTTCCCGGCACACTAGGAAGAGCGATGCTCCTAAAGTTGTTAGATTCAGCAGCCCTGTATCTGCACCAGATGCCCTGATGATAATCATCACCTGCATCTGTACCACAGAAGCAACATCAACCCACCTCATTAAAAAAATTGGCATGACCCTCCTACAAAAGTGTTGACAACTTCTAAGCGAGGCTGTTTATGAATATATAAATTCAATGATAAGCATAATAATAATGTGTAAACAGAATGCATGCGAGCCTTGTGTGTGCTTCCCTGGGCATGTGGGGGTTTCGTGCAGATGCAGGTGAGTGAGAGAGAGCCCCTACCAGATGCGGGGAGCTCAGCACGCACTCAAGGCAGAGCGGGGGCACGTGCGTGAAACGGTCGGTCACATGCACGGCGCCAGGCTCCACCTCGTCCTCACCCCCGTGATCGACGTAACGCACCTGGCACACACACACAGACCACACGAACGCACCACACGCAGACACATGCACGCACTCGCCTTTACCAGTCAGCGTGAACATCAACAACAACAAGAACGGATCATCACATCGCAGAGTTCATTCATAAGAAGAGCAGCCCAGGCACTTGAGCAGTGTCAACAAATGAGAGACACTGCTCAAGTGGCTTATCACGTGGAAATGTAAACGTGTGATGTTGATTCTAAATGTGGAGGGAAAAACAGGAGGACCCGGAGAAAAATCCACGCGACCAGAGGGAGAGAGACACAAATTCCAAACATAAAACAGCCATTGTCAGAGTCGGGATCGAACCCACAACCTCCTGTATACCAGGCGAGGGAGTTAACATCTCGCCACCACAACGCCCTCGGTTAAGATCTTGCCACAATATCGATCGCTTCTTTTGCCCGGTCATTTTCTACATTAAGGTTAATCCAGCTCTAGGCAAGCCACGTGCATCATTACTCAAGTGGCTTTGCCTTGGTGCATGCAGCGCCCACCTGCACGGAGTTTGTTTGCACATTGAGAATCTGGCCCCGGTACCAGCCTCCCGACAGCTGAACGACGCATGGCTGGCCCAAGAAAAAAGGCACATCCACAAGTCCAGAAAGGCTGCTGTTCTTGTTGCTGCTGCTGCCACACTCCAAATCCATGGATTCCATCAGCTTCTGCAGGACCGCATCTGACCCAACAAAAATTAGGAAACATTAAGTGGCAAAGAGTACAGTAGACTCTCGATTAATCCGCACTAATGACAAGGAGGATGGCCGCAGATAATTGAAAAATATCCATTTTCCACGGATATCTATGCCAAAAAGTAACCATCAACCGATTGATGGCACGTGCTCATTGAGAACACTTCATTGCTCCTGCGCAGAAGAATCGATCCACCAAGTGGACAGCAGCAGAGCCACGCCAATCAACATCAATCCATTCTAGATTTAAAGCTTTCGTGACTGCAAGGATCCATACTCTTTGGTTCTATTCGGTAAAGTCAGGTAGGTAAAAAATAAAACAACAAAAATCACGACGTTTCGGCCACAACACAAGCAGCCTTCATCAGGTGAAGGGACCAGGCTGTCTCGAGGACAGCGCTGGAGTGAAACACAGCCACGCTCAGACCGCGACCTTTAAGCTGTGTGCGAGGACACAAGGTGCCTTGACAAAGGAATTAGCATAAATATTAGCATTTGATTGGCCGACTTAGCATGATGAACGGTGTAGAGGTGGTGTACATGCGGGTGAACATGCCGGTTGGCGCGGGGGGGGAGGGGGAGCTTACCTATTGATGGTGTGAAAAAGGAATTTTTAAGAGCTGCGAAAGTTTGGGGTACCACTACTTGAAAAATATACTGTACCATTGAAAATTAGTTTAATGTTTGGTTCGATTTAGAACATCTTTCCAATGGTTGCTTAATTTGAAACCATCTTCTCGGTTGAAATTGTGTCTGTTTGTAGATCTGAATTGCCTCGTGAACAAATCTCTGATAAAAACCCGTGGGTTTGCAAAGAACCTTGGTATCGGAGAAAATTATATCGTGATCACCCACAGCGTTGTAACAGTGATCAGCTACAGCAGAAGAATTCGTTTTGCCGTGTTTCAAATCTGATTTGTGCTCGCGAATTCGGTCAGAGACATGTCGCTTTGTCTCCCCGATATAGCAATCACCGCAGGTACAACTCAATTTGTAAACCCCGGAGTACTATAAGTCAGGAATGAAATCCTTCACGGATAGGATCAGATCACGAATTTTGTGTACTGTATTGAACCGGACCTGGATCTTGTGTTTGTTTAGAATTTTGGAAATCTTTTTAGTAACGCCTGCTATGTATGGTAGTGTGATGGTTTTGACCGAGTATCAAGTGGTTGTTTCTGTATGGAGGGAGAAACAGCTTGGCGGATGGTACGGTCAGAGTATCCATTCCTTTTGAGGGCCAGGTGTACATGTTTTAATTCACTGGTCAGGTGGTGTTGGTCCGAAATGCAATGAGCCCTATGGTATAAAGTTTTGATGAGATAATTATTTTGGGCTGGGTGGTGGTGGGAATCAGGTTTCAAGTAGGAATCTGTGTGGGTGGGTTTCCTGTAGACAGAATGCCCCAATGAGCCATCAGGTCTCCTCTCAAACAGAACATCTAAGAAATGGTAACTTGCCATCTTTCTCCACTTCCATGGTGAATTTGATGGCGGGATGTCTGGCATTGATGTGTAGGAAAAGGTTCAGAGCTGGGAGGCCATGTGGCCAAATGACGAAAGTGTCATCCACATATCTCTTCCACAGGGAAGGTCTGAGGGTGGAAGTCTGGATGGCGTCTGATTCGAATTTCTCCATGAAAATATTGGCTATCACTGGTGACAAGGGGAATCCCATGGGGGTACCCTCATTTTGTTTGTAGAAGGAGCCATTCCAAGTAAAGTAGGTATTGTTGAGGCAGTGATCAGCTACGGCAGAAGAATTCGTTCTGCCGTGTTTCAAATCTGATTTGTGCTCGCGAATTCGGTCAGAGACATGTCGCTTTGTCTCCCCGATATAGCAATCACCGCAGGTACAACTCAATTTGTAAACCCCGGGGTACTGTAAGTCAGGAATGACATCCTTCACGGATGGGATCAGATCACGAATTTTATGTACTGTGTTGAATCGAACCTGGATCTTGTGTTTGTTCATGATTTTGGAAATATTTTTGGTGACCCCTGCTATGTATGGCAAGGTGATGGTTTTGATTGGGTCCTCACAGATGGTTTTCACACTCATCTGCTGCTGTCACTTCTCCTAATGCTAAACGGATCTTGTTCAGAGCCAGCCTAGCCCTGATCTCAAAGAGAATAAGATTGCTACAATTTGAATTCGATAGTTTAGAGACAAGACTCTCTTACAATCACACTTAGCATTGACAGACAACATGTCTACATCTGATTGGGACCATGTAGATAACATGATAGCTTCTTCAGCCGTCTTAATGTCAGCCCGATGTAAAGTTAACCTGATTTCCGAATTGAGCCTCCTGTCGAAGAATAAGCCTGATCCACACTTTTGTTATCAAAGTAACAGCCCAATTTCTGACAGCCAAAAATCGGTACTAGCTAAAGGGTTGCATTTCGCACTCACCCCTAAACACATCCCAGTTGATGATATCATTGCCCAGGTCGACGTAGACCTTAAGGGTTTGGGGGACACATTCCTGCAGATGTGGCGAGATCGGAAATCACTGCAATCCTCAAAAACGCTAAGAAACCCATGAGCAACATCAGCAAGGATGAGCGTTTTGAGCTTGCTTAACTGAAAAAGAGAGACAGTCATCCTTTCAGCCGACATCATGGATAAAACCACGTTAAATAACACAATTCAGGACCTACTCAATGATGGAAGCTATACCAAAATCAGAGATCCTACTAACCGCCTGGTTATGAAAACCAACAATATCACTGATTCGACATATTTAATCGAACCAACCAAGCGGCTCTCTATAAAATCCTCTGCTGCTAGACCACCCAGATTTTATGGCTTACAAAAAATCCATAAAGAAGGTACACCGCTCCATCCTAGCATCTCTTCCACTGACTCACCCACCTACAAAACTGGCCCATTGCAATCATTGAAGATTTGGTCCAACAAGGACTGAATGCTGATGTACCAACCCTGGTGAGACACTGTCATACCAACACTTACTTCACCTGGAATGGTACATTCTACAAACAAGATGAAGGTACCGCAATGGGTTCTCCCTTATCGCCAGTGGTAGCCAATGTTTTCATTAAAAAATTTGAGACAGATGCCGTCCAGGCATCCACCCTACATACTTCCTTGTGGAAGAGATACATAGATGACACGTTCGTCATCTGGCCACATGGCCCGCCAGCACTAAACCAATTCTTCAACCACAAATTCCATACACCCAGCCATCAAATTCACCATGGAAGTGGAAAAGAATGGCAAGTTACCATTCTTGGATGTTTTAATCGAAAAGAGACCAGATGGCTCATTGGGACATTCTGTCTACGGGAAAGTCACCCACACGGATGCCTATCTAAAACCTGACTCCCACCACCGTCCAGCCCGGAACAATTCCCTCATCAAAACCCTACACCGTAGGGCCCCGTTGCATCTACGACCAGCACCACCTAGCCAGTGAACTGGAGCACGTACATCAAGCCCTCAAGATGAATGGATATTCGGACCGGATAATCCGCAAAACTGTCACCCCCCAACCGTGGGGAAAAAAAACCCATCTGAGAACCAAATCAAAACCATCACCTTGACATACAGAGCAGGGGTCACCAAAAAGATTTGCAAAATCATGGCAAAACACAAGATACAGGTTCGATTCAACACAGCACATAAAATTCGTGATCTGATCCCATCTGTGAAGGATGGGATCCCGACATGCAATACCCCGGTGTCTACAAACTAAGTTGTGTCTGCGGCAGAAGTTACATTGGGGAAAATAAACGACATGTTTCGGACCGTGTTAGTGAACACAAGGCGGATCTGAAACATGGCAGGACCAATACCTCGGCCGTGGCTGATCATTGTTTTAACGCTGTGGGCTCACAATAATGATTTTTCCACGACGAAAGTACTCTGCAAACTCACTGGCTATCATCAAAGATTTGTTAATGAAGCCATCCAGATATATAAACAGACAACTTCAACCGACAAGATGGTACAAATTAAGCAATCATTGGAAGGACATGATTAACCAGGTAAAGTCTTAACTTGCTATGATGTTTCCATCCTTTCTACCGATGTTAACCGACTCTCTGAGTTTCATTACTAGGATGGATGTCTTTGTATTGACAGGCTGGGTGTCCACTGCCCCAGCCTCTGTGGTTGGACCATCGCTAGCTCCACCCACCTTGATGCACCCTCCCCTGGCCTATATAAGACCTTGTCTCAGCAGCTCTCTCTCTCTCATCTGAGGACGATTGCTTGTGTTGCAATCGAAATGTCGTGATCTATTATTTTCTATGTACGTGACTTGACCGAAAGACCCAAAGAGTATGAGCCCCTTCATGAATCCGTCGTCAAATTGCACACCGTGTGCAAAACCTCCGCGTCCTCACCATTTGAAGCCAGGTGTCCGTAGATGCGGCCGCTGGCGCTCACGTGCGACACCACCAGGCTGAACGTGTCGCTGGCCGGGAGTTCGGGCGCTAGGTAGGGGACACCGGCCCACTGCTGGGGTGGAACCACCATGCGGGACATCTCCTTGACGCACGCTGCGACGATGTCCTCGCCCATCCTCCTGTGCACCACTCCTGGATCTGCGATCGGCCTGCACAAAAGCGGGAAAACCCACGAAGGATAGGACAACTCGCTATCCTCTTCCCCACCATCACTCAAGGGGGATTACTAAGTGGCAAATACAGGTGATGAAAATCCCTGCGAGTTGTACTACCTTTTGACGTGGAAGGCCAGCCCCTGAAGTACCAGCAAGTTGCCGATGTCTCGCAGGTGGTCTTTATCTCCCGCCATTCGGCAGGTGAGTTGCACAGGCAGGGGGTCATCCCTCTCCATCTCCCCCTGCACAGCGAGCCACACCGAGCAATGACACCCGCAGTGTCACAGCGAGCACAGCCAGCAATGACACCCGCAGTGTCACACCGAGCACAACCAACAATGACACCCGCAGTGTCACACCGAGCACAGCCAGCAATGACACCCGCAGTGTCACACTGAGCCACAACTAGCAATGACACCCACAGTGTCACATTGAGCACAACCAACAATGACACCCGCAGTGTCACACTGAGCCACAGCCAGCAATGACACCCACAGTGTCACATCGAGCACAGCCAGCAATGACACCCGCAGTGTCATACTGAGCACAGCCAGCAATGACACCCACAGTGTCACACCGAGCACAGCCAGCAATGACACCCACAGTGTCACACTGAGCACAGCCAGCAATGACACCCACAGTGTCACACCGAGCCACAGCCAGCAATGACACCCGCAGTGTCACACTGAGCACAGCCATCAATGACACCCACAGTGTCACACCGAGCACAGCCAGCAATGACACCCACAGTGTCACACTGAGCACAGCCAGCAATGACACCCGCAGTGTCACACTGAGCCACAGCCAGCAATGACACCCACAGTGTCACACCGAGTACAGCCAGCAATGCCACCCGCAGTGTCACACAGAGCCACAGCCAGCAATGACGCCCACAGTATCACACCAAGCACAGCCAGCAATGACACCACAGTGTCACAACCGAGCACAGCCAGCAATGACACCCACAGTGTCACACCATGCACAGCCAGCAATGACACCCACAGTGTCACCCCCAGCACAACCAGCAATGACATCCACAGTGTCACACTGAGCCACAACCAACAATGACACCCGCAGTGTCACACCGAGCACAACCAGCAATGACATCCACAGTGTCACATTGAGCACAGCCAGCAATGACACCCGCAGTGTCACATTGAGCACAGCCAGCAATGACACCCGCAGTGTCACACTGAGCACAGCCAGCAATGACACCCGCAGTGTCACGCTAAGCACAGCCAGCAATGACACCCGCAGTGTCACATTGAGCACAGCCAGCAATGACACCCTCAGTGTCACACTGAGCCACAGCCAGCAATGACACCCGCAGTGTCACAATGAGCACAGCCAGCAATGACACCCACAGTGTCACACTGAGCCACAACTAGCAATGACACCCGCAGTGTCACACTGAGCCACAGCCAGCAATGACACCCGCAGTGTCACACTGAGCCACAACCAACAATGACACCCACAGTGTCACACCGAGCACAACCAGCAATGACACCCACAGTGTCACACTGAGCCACAACCAACAATGACACCCACAGTGTCACACCGAGCACAGCCAGCAATGACACCCGCAGTGTCACACTGAGCCACAACCAACAATGACACCCACAGTGTCACACCGAGCACAGCCAGCAATGACACCCACAGTGTCACACTGAACAACAGCCAGCAATGACACCCACAGTGTCACACTGAGCACAGTCAGCAATGACACCCGCAGTGTCACACTGAGCCACAACCAACAATGACACCCACAGTGTCACACCGAGCACAGCCAGCAACGACACCCACAGTGTCACACTGAACAACAGCCAGCAATGACACCCACAGTGTCACCCCCAGCACAACCAGCAATGACATCCACAGTGTCACACTGAGCCACAACCAACAATGACACCCGCAGTGTCACACCGAGCACAACCAGCAATGACATCCACAGTGTCACATTGAGCACAGCCAGCAATGACACCCGCAGTGTCACATTGAGCACAGCCAGCAATGACACCCGCAGTGTCACACCGAGCACAACCAGCAATGACACCCGCAGTGTCACACTGAGCACAGCCAGCAATAACACCCGCAGTGTCACAGCGAGCACAGCCAGCAATGACACCCGCAGTGTCACAGCAAGCACAGCCAGCAATGACACCCACAGTGTCACACTGAGCCACAGCCAGCAATGACACCCACAGTGTCACACTGAGCCACAGCCAGCAATGACACCTACAGTGTCACACTGAGCACAGCCATCAATGACACCCGCAGTGTCACACCGAGCACAACCAGCAATGACACCCGCAGTGTCACACTGAGCCACAGCCAGCAACGACACCCACAGTGTCACACTGAGCCACAGCCAGCAATGACACCCGCAGTGTCACACCGAGCACAGCCAGCAATGACACCCGCAGTGTCACACTGAGCCACAACCAACAATGACACCCACAGTGTCACACCGAGCACAGCCAGCAATGACACCCACAGTGTCACACTGAACAACAGCCAGCAATGACACCCGCAGTGTCACACCGAGCACAGCCAGCAATAACACCCGCAGTGTCACAGCGAGCACAGCCAGCAATGACACCCGCAGTGTCACAGCGAGCACAGCCAGCAATGACACCCGCAGTGTCACATTGAGCACAGCCAGCAATGACACCCGCAGTGTCACCAACTGAAACAATCAAAAGCAATTATTTTCTAATGAAAATGATTTGTGACGTAATATTTCATTTTTAGTAATCTATGCAAAGTTATTTGGTCATACTTGTTGCTTTTGATAAACTAAAGGTCTTCCCCTGGCAACCTTCGTCCCCCGTCCAGCACTGAAATCCCGCCTCTGACCACAACTTCGTTGCCGGGGCTATCTCGAGACAAAGCTCCTTAATTTTGCATTTTCTTTGTGGAGGCAAAACCCAGTCCATCCTGGGCAATCCCGATCTTCCTGGCAACCGGCTGAAAAACCTCGGGATGCAGTTACTGCTCGCCCGAATCCAGGCTTTCTCAGCTTAACCAAACCGGCTGTCTGAATTGTCGGTCCCAGCAAGCTGGCAAGCCCAGCAAGGGCACACCCTGGCTCTCTCTGCCCAGGATAAAGAGGCGAGCGTGTCAGTTTTTGAAACCGTGAAGGGCCGTGCCATCAGGTTGTCGCAGCACTTCAACAAGACAATCCTTTGTCCATTGCTCCTAGAGGCTACAGCGATATCTGTACAGCTCTGAACTTTAATATATTGATACTGCTCCTTCGGTTCTTCTGGCGACCATCTGCCCCGCGAAAGCTCTGTGCTTTGGTAGCACGCTCTACATCCTGAACGGGCTCGCCTGTCTCCACCACTGCCTGTTGCTCCTTCAAGAAGCCGCGGGGGAATGCCCTCCCTCCTGCAAGAGAGGGACGACTCAATCCACTAAGAGGTTCCTGTCTCACCGGCTGGGAGAGCTTCACAGAGTTCCTCAAGTCACCCCCACAAGGGGTCTCTACCCATGCTGTCAGGAAGCACCACTACGTGGCCCTCATAGGTAGCCTGGCCCAAGGGGACCACGTCGACCATCGCTGTCACATAGTCCAGGGGGGTTACCAGGGTGTGCCTTGCACTTTGGCTGTCTCCGCTCGGAGGCATCTGACCTTTTCGCACTGTCGGCGAGTGGTCACTGCAGTGTCGATCGTGTCCTCGAGGTGGCTTGGACTTGGGTACACGTCGATGCCGTCCTTTCACAGGTGAGCGATGAACACGACCAACACCTTCGTGGTGGATAGATGTTAACTCCATGGCCTGGTATTCAGGAGGTCGTGGGTTCAATCCCGAACCTGATGCCTGTTGTATATTTGTAGTTTGCATGTCTCTCTTCCGTGATCGCGTGGATTTTTCTCCGGGTCCTCTAGTTTTTCCCTCCACATTAAGAAACATGCTTTTAGAGTATTTTACTGCTATAAATTTCCACATGATAGGCTACTTTGTTGAGTTATCATTTGTGGCCAGATTGCTTCTGAAAAATAGCTAGAGTAACTCAGTGGGCCTTACCTGGTAAAGCAAAAAATAGTTTAGTTTTAAATACCCTCGAGGAGAATGAGAGTCCGAGTGGAAGGACCAGGAAGTCCCAGCGTCACCCTGAGATTCCGTAACGCAAAAATCTGCGGCCGCTTTTGAAAATTGACATATACATGCCGTACAACATGTTTGAAATCGACAGGAGTAAAGTTGGACTTACGAACAAATCGAATTACGGAGACCTATGGAACCTAACTCGTTCGTAAGTAGAGGAGAGTCCCTGCAATGAGCTTTGGTTTTATTCTCATTATATTAAGGCATTTTTAAAAAAGGTAAAATAATAAAAAAATATACTGAAAAAAATAAAAACAATTTTTATTATGTTTTCCGAACGTTGCGCATCGCGATGAGTCACAGAACGTTTGTTAACATTCGTCTCCGCCAATCAGTACGCAGCAACGCACTACATAATGGAGCTGTGGCGTTTGGTGGGCAATGCAACCTTATGACTGCACCCAAGACTACACTGGTGAGTGTAAATATATTTCACAGTACACGGTTTCTTATATTTATGTTAGTTTTACATTTTAATACTGTACAGCATAAAATATATATTTATTCAATATGAATGGTAAGTTATTAAGTTTTGATTTAAAGCTTTCGTGACTGCAGTAATTCATATTCTTAGTTTTTTCAGTAAAGTCACGTTGAAGGGAAACAACAAAATAATAAAATATATATAAAACAATTAAAAAATTCTCACGACGTTTCGACCATAACTCAAACGGTCGTCTTCAGGTGTGTTGGTTTGCATAAATGTATTTTTAAACGGCTCATTTATTTATTTAAAAAACGTTAGCGCCACGCGCAACGATTTGGCAGTTTATTTAGGACTAGTCCATCTATATTCTGAAAAGAGGAGGGGGGAGACGACATTTTTTATAATGTATGCTGTCTGAAAGCCACTGTAAGCGTGAACAATCAATTAAGACCTGAAATGGTTTATCAAATCTTTCCAATGATTGCTAAGATAGAATCCATCTTCTCGGTTGAAATTGTCTCTGTGCTTGTATATGTGGATAGCCTCATGAACGAATCTCTCATGGAAGCCAGATGGCTTACAAAGAACCTCATTTCCAAGACAAAAATTTCATCTCCCCCCTCCTCTTTTCAGAATATAGATGGACTAGTCCTAAATAAACTGCCAAATCGTTGCGCGTGGCACTAACGTTTTTTTTTATAAATAAATAAATGCGCCGTTTAAAAATAAATTAATGCAAACCAACACACCTGAAGACGACCGTTTGAGTTATGGTCGAAACGTCGTGAGAATTTTTTATTGTTTTATATATTTTATTATTTTGTTGTTTCCCTTCAACGTGACTTTACCGAAAAAACTAAGAATAAGTTATTAAGTGTTTATCATATGAAATGGCTCGTCACAAAGGCTGAGAACGTATCCGCAGTCTCGGACGAAAAAAATAATGGGCGGACCAGGTGTGATGGTTGCAGACTCCAGGATTCAGTTTTCTACTCATCTAAAGAACCTTGCCACCATAATCGACCACAATATCTCATTTGACCACCAATTTTCATATCAGGGCTCTACAACACATTCGGCCACTATTGAGCCAACACCGTGGCGTGTAGCATAGTATTGACGAGGCTCGATTATTGCAATGCGCAACTAGACGAGATGTCTGGTAAAAACATGACTAAGCTGCAGTGTGTAAAAAAAATTTCTGGCAAATTTCGTGACGGGTACTGCAATATCTGACCATGTCCGTCCGGTGCTCGCTGAGCTGCATTGGCTTCTGGTTGCTGAACTAATACATAAGGTTGCTCATTACACACAAAGTAGTCACCACAAATGAACCACGACACCTAGCTGATCTCATTAAAAAACAAACCAACACGCGAACTCCGGTAATCCTCACATCGGCTATTGGCTGGCCATGAAACAAAGACAGTCACCGCATCGTGCGCCCAGATGCGCTTCTGCAAGCCATTCGGAACACTCGTCCTTCCGATATTAGGAAGCCGTTGGAGCTGTGCACTTTTAAATCATCTCGATTGACAAACTAATTTCTTTAGAACTGAATTTTGTGTTTACTTTGATGTCCTTCCTCCACACCTCTGACTAGCAGTGGGCTACGTACAGTGCGAAAGAAGTTCAACATACAAACATCCCAATAGTACTGTTATATGTTATTCAATATACGAAGTTTTGATACATACTAACGAAGCTCAAGGAAGGCATCTGCTTCGTACGTCGAGATATTACTGCACTCTGGATTCACTCATCCCGAGTGATCCTCTCCCTATCCGCCAGGTTCGTAGCGTGGCGCGCTAACTGCTATACTACCCGCTCCCCGTTATAAGGAATGTATACACCATGTATAACACATGCAAGCCAAGACACAGTACAGATACAAAAACATAAATTCACAGTTTACAACAAGGAAATGTCTGAGAAACGCTTAACGATACCATTTCCTTGACGTAGCAGTATTTCTCAGAAATGGCATCGGACAAGAAGTCGCACGCTCCGGCCGACCATTCCGCGCTGCCGCCTGTTGGCCTGGAAAAGGAGACGGTCAGAGGCACGCACACACACACACACACACGCACTCACTCTACTACAGTGGCCTCTCGATTGTCGGCGTGCGGTTTCTCCAATTTGCGGATTAACTGCGCGCACCTGAGATTGGCAAATTAATAACTCGTGGAATTTTCCCTGAAGCCAAAATTAATGTTAAAACAGTTACCGTATTTTCCCGCATATAACCCACGGGGTATACATTTTACAAACATAACAAGACCCTGCGGGGTATATGGAGGTGCAGGCTATCCCGCTAAATGTTTTCATGGTAGGACTATCCACTATGCAACACTTACCTTTGACTAAAGCACTGCTGAATAAACCACTCATACTGAAATTGCACGTTATCACGTTTTAAATCATCCAAATTGTTTGTACAATGAAACGACAATGTTTGAAGTGGGCGCACTTTGTTTACCAGCAACGGGAGAGCTGGGGGGAGAGAGAGGTGGGGGATTGGGGGCGAGGCAATGGCGTAACCGTAGTGCCGCTATTGTCTGTGCAGTGCGCAATCTACCAGTGCTAAAACTGTACTTATCTACCAGTTATGTGATACTTATTTATTGGATATTTACATTTGTTACTTATTTACTGTTTTAAGTTCACTCGTTTCCGGTTAGCTTGTTTTCTTTGTGCACGTTATGATTTTAATGTTAACAATTGATAGTGGAATGTATTACAAATGTAAACTTCGTGTTAATATGATGGAATTAAGCTGCGGTAACGACGTTAAAGATATGAATGCATGCGGGGTATATGGAGGTGTGGGCTATCTGAAATTTGTTTTACGCAAAACGCTATTTTTGCGGGGTATATGTGTCTGCGGGTTATATGCGTATGCGGGCTATATGCGGGAAAATACGGTAGTTATTCTTGGAAATGTTTATTAACAGTAACATGTTTAAACCGAACAAATATGTGCTCTGGTTCATCCGAAATCCGCGTGTTCGCTCTACAATACAGTAGTTGCAGATCTTTACAACAGTGGGTGGGAGTTGAATTGATGTTGATTGGCGTGGCTCTGCAGCTGTCCACTTCATGGGCTGAGTCTTCTGTGTGGGAGCAGGAAAGTGTTATCACTGAGCAAGGCCATCGAATACTAATGATCGATAATTAGTATTTGTTCTAAATCGAAAGAGTAATAATCGAAATCGTAAGTTGTGCTTCATTTTGAGTGATTTGTCCGATAATTTACTTTGTGGCACAGAGATCCATTGAAAATTAATATTTTGTGATTATCTGCAATTTTGAATTGTCCGCGGCCATCCTCCCCATCAAAAGCGAGGATAATCGAGAGTCGACTGTACTTGACACTCCTATTGTCACTGCTTTGTGGCAGAGAAAGGAGCGAAAGCCCACGAGCACAAGGGGACAACATTCACAGGGCCGCAGACAAGTGACGGACACCAACTTGCCAAACTGCCACCTCACAGCCCCGTGAGTTTACAGGCACGCGCTATCACCACGGTCAACTTCGTAAACGCAGTCACCTAAAACTACCACTCATTGATTACAGGTATGTAAACAATCTAGATTAAGTTTTCGTGACTGCAGGGATCCACTATCAAAGATTTGTTCATGAAGCCATCCAGATATATAAACATAGGCGTAACTTCAACTGAGAAGATGGATACAAATTGAGCAATCATTGGAAGGATGTTATTAGCCAGGTACACAATTTCAACCGAGAGGATGATAATAAACTCAGCAATCGTTTGAAAGATGTCATCAACCACTTTGGGTCATGACTTGATTTGTGTTTTCTTGGTGTAGACCTACTGCCCGTGTTGGAGACCTCTCCTACATTACCATTAGCTGCCCCGCCCATCTCTAAACCTTTATAAACAGCCTGCCTCAGAAGCTTTCCCCCTCTTTTTCACCTGATGATGACTGCTTGTGTTGCGATTGAAACGTCGTAGTATTTTTATTATTTTTTTATTCACTTTATTTTCATTTGTATTATTTTATTGTTATTATTTTTTCTATCTACGTGACTTAACCGAAAGAACCATAAAATATGAATTCCTGCAGTCACAAATGTTGAGTAAAAATTTAAATACTTTCTTTTTTTAAAGGCTGAGTTTAAAAAAGTCAATAAAAAATAGACTGCTTCTGATTTGTTCAGCACTCTGGATGAAATAATTAAGTGCAGCACCCCCAGGGAGGATAGAGACTGAGACTGCATGCCACCCCCATGCTATATTCTCGTAACGAGCCGACGACTGGCACTCGAGGGAGAAGGACCAACATGAAGTGTTTAAAGACAATATTCACGAATCAAGCAAATCCATGGGGGGAGATGATTGGATGGAGATGGGATTCATGAAACCTTCAGAAAAATCACAAGACAATGTTTCTGGCCATGCGGACGGGCCGGCTTCAGGCAAATTGCAAACGTACGAAAGGAAAGGGTTATAAACATGTTACATTGTTCACACGCGCGTGCACATCTGCCGTGGCAGTGTGAACGCGGGTTGTGAGGGAGCGCTTACGTCAAGCAAGCGAGGCAGCAGTGTACCGCCATGGCAGGGTAGCGGCTGCACGCCATGTCGATGGGGCGCAGTTCGCTCGGCGCCACCACCGCCGCATCTCCGTAGTCGAGCAGCAGCACCTGCACTCGGAGACCGGGCGGTGCGATAAACCGCACACAGGCGTGTCAAGTTAGTCAGTCAAGTTAGTTAATCAGTCAGTCGTCTGAGTGAGGAGCCCAGGTGGAGTGTCGGGCTCCATCCACCCCTCCGATTTTATGAACGATCGCAACTCGTGGGTCATGCTTCGATGGAAAATAATTAAGTCTCTCGCTTTTACCATCTCGTTTGCAGTCTCTTTCGGTTTCTGCTCCCAAACATATTATAATGAAATAAAGTTTTGAACCTTGCTAAAGTTGTTTCTCTAGTCCATGCCCACCCCCCACTGCTCCAACATTAAGCTCAACATGTAGCAATTTCCTCTCTACCCATAAGACTCACTACTCAATAGCAAAGCCACACTTACTGTAGAGAGACACACAAACAACACAAAACACCCTCTCTATATTTGCCCAAGAGCCACAAGTGGTTATTGTAGGTTTTGGCCGAGTGACAGAAGGCCCCGCGCCTAGTCCAGAGCGAAGACAAAGGGGTGTGAGGCATCCCGTATGAAAAGGCGTCTCAGATGAGGAGCGAGCAGGAGCAGAAACAGCAGCAGTGAGTGAAGGAGGATCTCTAAGATGCCAGCACAGAATTTATTTACTTCACAAATATTCTCTTCAGAGTTTAGTGAATATCCTGCACATCAGAGACTGGGGTGTGGCCCCGTGCCTGCCTCACGTTGTGTGTGGCGGCATACCCGGATCAGGACAGCAGCACGCAGACGCAGCTGCCCTGAGACCGAGCAGAAGACACAGGCACTGGTGAGGAAGCGGGGGACTCGGAGAAAGCCAGCCCAGGACTCTCACCTCCTGTGACTCAGCGCCAGTCTCGAGCTGTGACCCTGGGTAATGCATTGTAAATGGCGTCACAAGCTGCTCAAACTGTGTCGTACGGTAGTGGCCTAGCGCCTTTTAACACGTAGTAGTACTTTCATGACGCAATACCATCCAAAAGAGGTTTTTGTTGGGTTGGATCGCGTAAAAATGAATGTGTCATGAAACCCGCCACCACCCGACACAGCCAATTAGTAAGGTTTGTTACGTAAACAACTTGATGAAGATTGATGTTGTAATTACTGTCGAAACGTCACGGTACTTGATTTGTAAATGTTGTGGGTTTTCTCTCCAATACACACCGTGTGTACTGAACTTGTAAATAATTGGCACGTTTTGTTTACGTAACAAACCTGACTAGTTGGCTGTGTTGGGTGGGGATGGCGGGTTTAACGACACATTTAGATTTACACGCTCTAACCCAAAATATTAAATAAACTTCTCTTATGGACAATATTGGAGCGAAAGCCTCCTACGTTATAAACCCTGCACCATACTTCACCCTGGGAGACTCTGCAATGCGATGGGTACCCACTGTCGCAATGAAACATGGAAATCAGAAACGTGGACAACAAATGAAAACGGAGAGTGCAAGAAAAGAGACAGCTGTTCACAGCGGCGTGGAGAGATGGGATGCTGGAAATTAAACTGAGACACAGAAAAAGGTACAGAGTACATTAGACAAAACAGGCAAATTAGAGACACAAATTTGAGCTTACCGCAGCACTGACGATAATCATGATAAAAACAGAGATGCACGCTTGGAACAAGGATAAGACAGAGAGAGGAAGAGGTGTGGATTGGAGGGGGGAACGCAAGTTGGACAAATCGCATTGAGCTCCAATACAGCAGCGGATAGAGCAGAGCGAAGATTGTGAAAGAGTAGAGAGAAATTCCTGCTGAGAAAGATGCATGTGGATTAGATGACAAACCCACATTAGAGAAGCGTCGTTTTTTGGTTATTATCCATCAGCGGATAGATCATGGCTGATGAAGATGACAGATGAGCGACTTGGATCCTGCCCTGGTGTCGCCCGATTTCTCCATGCAACGTCATCGGCCAAAGTACGTTAAGTCACACAATGGCTAAAGGAGGCTAATATAGAGTTCTCTCGATTATCCGATTGACGGATTAACCGCGCACCGAGATTTTGATTTGCCCTTAAACCTAAGTTAATAATCTAAAAACATTTCTACATTTTCTTGGTTCTTTCGGTAAAGTCACGTAGAATGGAAATAAAATAATAAAAATAAAACATGATAAAACTAAATTCTCACGATGTTTCGGCCACAACACAAGTAGCCTTCTTCAGATGAAGGAACTACGACTACACAATCTGCAAAGCCATCACTCCAGCCATGAAGAAGGATCCTCTTGAGGAGCCATTCAAAACCATCACCTTACCCTACATTGCGGGGGTCACAAAAAAAATCTCCAAAATCCTGAATGAACACAAGATCCAGGTCCGTTTCAACACAGTACATAAAATCCATGATCTGGTTCCGTCTGTAAAAGGTGTGGTTCCAGACATACAGTACCCGGACGTCTACAAACTAAGTTGCCTCTGTGGTAGCAGCTACATTGGAGAAACCAAACGACATATCTCGGACCGCATCCGTGAACATAAAGCAGACCTGAAACACGGTAAGACGAACACCTCAGCCGTGGCAGATCACTGTTATAATTCAGTGGGCTCACATGACATTGACTTCTCCACGACGGAGGTTCTCTGCAAGCCATCCGGCTACCATGAGAGATTCGTTCATGAGGCCATCCACATATACAAACACAGAGACAATTTCAACCGAGAAGATGGATTCTGGCTTAGTAACCATTAGAAAGACGTTATAAACCATTTTGGTTCTGAATTCATTGTATTTTTCGGTGACTTTCAGACCGCAGTCGATTCGCTGGCACTGCCTCTTAGTACCTTTTACACGACGGTCAATGGTATGGTTTATAGCATGTTGTATAATAATAAATAGTATAACATTGTAATGTTTAACATAATTCATAAGGAAATATATAGTATCGTATGTATAGTGAATATACAGCAGTGTGGTATACAGTAGGGTTGGTAGAATAATACAGTGTAATATTACAAGTCTAATATTATTATAGTCTAAAGTATAGGGTAGTGTATAGTAACGCATTGTATAATTCAATGGTGGGTTTGTCTATGGCAGTGTATATTACGGTGTATAGTTGTGTAATGTAGAAAAAAGTTTAGTTGGAGACATATCAATATAATGCATAATGTTAGAGCTTACATTGGGCTGTGTATACGACATTATACAAAGTAGTTTAGATTGTATAGTAGTATAGTTTATAACATGGTTGTAACGCAACACAGGACAGATCAGCGCATCATGGCTGTTTCTCCCTCCTCCTCCGTTCCGAGCATAGATGGACTCGTCCGTCTAAACAAAGCTCGTCGCTTTCCGTGGTGCTCACGTTGAAAAGAAAAAAAACGCCACCCATTTTTTCGCCATATCGCATTGTAATGTATAACTACTTATTGTTAGTAGCTCAGCTGATTGGAGAGTATATAGAGTTTATTGATAATATTGATGTAGTTTATATTTTAGTTTTTTATTAGTTTATTATATGGTATTTATTATATAGTGTAGTGTATACCCAGTTACTTTATGTCAATAGCTCAACTTATTGAAGAATATATTGAGTACATTTATTATATTGATGTAGTTTAAACTTAGTTTTTTCACATCGGTTTATTGTATGATAGTTGGGTAGTTGCAGTCCTTTACCGTCCATATACTAAATGCCTCCGTTGATATGTAAACTTTGACTTTTAACATAGCTATTTCCGTGACCAGTTACATGCTAATCCCTCACATTAACATCATGCTAATCTCCCAGTTACATGCTAATGTCTGACTTTAACACCCTACTGATCCAACACTTTAACATAGCTATTTCAATGCTAAATTCTCCTGTTTGATATGTAAACTCCTTTGTCAAGGCGCTTTACTTCTTCCACCTAGCTTAAAAGACGCTGCGAATCTTAGCAGCGTTCATTGAAGCGCAGTCGGCCCGACAGTTCTGTTCCTTCACCTGAAGAAGGCTACTTGTGTTGTGGTCGAAACGTGGTGAGAATTTATTTTATCATGTTTTATTTTTATTATTTTATTTCCATTCTACGTGACTTTACCGAAAGAACCAAGAAGAAGAATCCCTGCAGTCACGAAAGCTTTAAATCGAAATTCATTTCTACATTGTTATTCTTGGAAATTTTTATTACAAATCACGTGCTTAAACCGTACAAATGTTGCTCCGGTTAATCCAAAACCCACGTGATCGCCTCAACAGTACAGTAGTTGCAGATCTTTACAATAGTGGGTGAAGTTTGATTGATGGTGATTTGACATAGTGTATAGTAGTGGCTTTACCGAAAGAACCAAAGAGTATAGATTTCCAGCAGTCATGAAAGCTTAAAATCTAGATTGAACCGCCTCTACAGGGAGGATTTTCACACAACTGTGAGAGCTTTTAACAGACTGCGAGACAATAAGGCTCGCCTGACCGAGTCGCTAACCTCTCTTAAGAGATGCCGCGATAACAAGGTAATACTGATCGCATTTACACTCACATCTGCTGCTGTCACTTCTCCTAACGCTAAACGGATCTTGTTTAAAGCCAGCCTATCGCTAATCTCAGAGAGAACAAAGATTGCTCCGATTTGAACTTGATAATTTAGACAAGACTCTCTTACATTCACACTTAAAATTAACAGATAAAATGTCCACTTCTGATTGGGACCATGTAGATAACATGACAGTCTACTCTGCTAATTCCATGTCAACCAAATGTAAAGTTGATAAAATAAAATAACACAATAATATTCTCACGACGTTTCGGCCACAACACAAACGGCCTTCATCAGGTGAAGGGACGAGACTGTCTGGAGGACAGCGCTGGCCGAAACGTCGTGAGAATATTATTGTGTTATTTTATTTTATCAATTTATTATTTTATTCTCGTTCTACATGACTTTACCGAAAGAACCAAAGAAGATGAATCCTTGCAGTCACGAAAGCTTTACATCGAAAAATGTAAAGTTAACATGATCGTTAAATTCAACCTCCTGTTAAAAAAGAAGCCAGAGCCACACGTTAAAAAGTTAGAT